CCCAGTCTAGGTTGTCAGGCAAGAACAGTGTTATACTACTTCTTGTCTCAACCTGTCACCCAGATTCTTATGTTAGGACATCAGAGAGGGTCAGTGAGGAGATGCGAGAGAATTTGTGATACTGGATGGCCCACTGGAACTGCTCTCTGCTGCCACCTTCAGCAGACCTGAGTGGGTTGCCTGAACCCACCTGTTTCTGTGTACTCAGCTCTGCCAAGACATGCATGAGAGGATGATGGTCCTCAAAAGACAAAATGAAGCAAAACCAAGAGGTGGCAGGATATACAACATTAACCTTCTGTTGCTTCAAGTCTTTCTTCTGAACTATGGCTGGATGCTTGCAGGACTTCCCCCAACCCAAATATGCTCCATATATTCTAAGGCCTGGGCCAGGGTCACTTAATCCACAAGGGCTCCTGATGTGATCTTCTAGTTGGGATTATAAATGTTCAAAAAAGACAAAGATCCCTACCCTCATAAAGCATCTGTTTAGCACAGAGGAAAACATAAATCAGCAATAGACTAATAGAATGGTAAATATAAGAATTATATAACATGGCTGACACTGATAAATGGCATGGAAAAGCTGGCTAGTAAGGGTGAGGTAGGAAGAAGGCTGAGGAGTAAAGGTTGCAGCATTACGAGTAGACTTCCATGGAGGGAATAGAATAAAACAGTGAATAGAAAAAACATTGCTAGGTGCCTGTGGCTCATGCCTGTAATCCTACCTACTCAGAAGGCTGAGATCTAAGGATCATGGTTTGAAGGTAGCCTGGGCAGAAAATTCTGTGAGACTCTTACTTCCAATTAACCACAAAAAGCTGTAAGTGGCATTGTGGCCCAAGTGGCAGAATGCTACCTTGAGCACAAAAGCTCAAGGATACAACATATCTGGAGTTTGAGGAACAGTGTGAAGAACAGATGTAAGAGAGAAGAGAGTTCATGGGCCAGGCTGTCCAGAGAGAGTGCCTTTGGAATCCCCTGTCTGCCTTGGAATTATAACTGAATAAGGTAGACAACTTGTAGTAAATTCTTGGTAGAGGAGTAACTTGATTTAAAGGATCACTAATGCAGGGTGTTGAAAATAGTCTACAGGGCAAATGTAGAGACAAAGAAGCCACTGCACAATCACCCAGCAAGGGAGAACAGTGGCCAAGGCCAAGAGGTTTGGAAGTGATGAGAACTGGACAGATGCCCCATGCTCTTGGAATTTGCTGATAGAGTGGATATGGATCAAAAGAAAGCAGGATCAAGAATGGCTTCAAGGCTTCGGGGATGAGTGGAATTGGTGTTTCCAGCAATGAGAAAGGGCAAGAGTAGAGAATGTTATAGAGGGAAATCAAGGCTGGAGATGTATCTGTGAGCTGGACATGCCCAGGTGGAGGTGGTGGGGAGACAGCTGGAAGCAGAGACAGGGCCTGCATGTAACTGAGACGTAAGTATTCCCTAAGCAAAGTTATGTTTTATTGGCAGTGATGGCAGGAAAGGAGGCCCCAGGGATGAGTCCCATATCTGAGAGGGGGTGGCTAACTGTCTTCAAGAGGGCTGGAGAATCAAAGAACAAGAGAAGAGATGGCACTGCCATCCTATTGGGTGTTCTGAGCCCCAGCTGACCTAGAGTATATTAACAAAGTCTTTCACAGGGCATTTCCTCTGCCAAATGAAGGAAGTGCTATCTGGAATGTGGCAAAGCATTCTGTGCTCCAGCATGCTATAGTGCCACCTTTACAAAACCATACACCAGAGTCTTTGCTAGCTCCAATGTATAGAGAGGAATTGTGTTCGTGCCACTCAGAAGTGGCATGAAGTGCTGGAGGTCAAAGCCAGGAGTCAAAGTCCAGGGTCCTCACTACACAGCAAAATCCCCCATAGAGCAGGTACCTGGCTCTGGTCCTGAGCCCATGGGTGCCTCTGGCCCCTTCACAGTTGATGTTGCTGTGGACTTGCATGCCTGGTATTAGTGAGCTCTGATAGACTTTTCCTTAAAACCTTTTTCTGATCTCAAGGGTGTTGAAAGGAGGTGAGCTAATGAGGAACTACAAGTTAAGAGCTTGGCTTAGTGCCTAGCACACAGAAAACACTGTACATGTAGCAGCAGGCCCCAGGACAGTGAAGGAAGCAGAAACTGTTTTAATTTATTGAAGGAATTTTCAGTTAAAGTTGTAAAAAGAAATGGAGAAGAGCCTACCCAATCTGTATGACCTACTTACTCTACTTGATATGCAAGTACACAAAAATTTATTTCTTCTACTAGATTATTTGCTTAGGATAAATTCCCTAGGGTAGGATTACTGAGCCAACAGGTCAGAGCCCTTTTCTGGATCTTAGTAGTTGTTGTCATTATGTCTTCCAGAAAAAGATTTCTTTGGTGGACATTGTATGCAATACTAAACTCATATATTTTAACTTTTAATTTTGAATTTGTGTGTATGTGTGTGTGTGTGTGTGTGTGTGTGTGTGTGGTGTGTGTGTTGGTACTGGGGCTTGAACTCAGAGCCTCATGCTCTTGCTTGACTTTTCTGCTCAAGGCTAGTACTCTACCACTTGAGCCATACTCTACTTATAGCTTTTTGTTGGCTAATTGGAAATAAGTCTCATGGACTTTTCTGCCCAGGCTGGCTTTGATCCTCAGCCTCTGAGTATGTGGATTATAGGTGTGAACTACCAGCACCTAGATGATTTTTTTTCTTACAATTGATTTCATGAGTTTCTTCTTGCAGTTCAAGGTCCTGTATAATTAATTTGCATTCTTTTGAAAGCTAAGGAAGAATGTGTGTGTGTGTGTGTGTGTGTGTGTGTATGTGTGTGCTGGTCCTGGGGCTTGAACACAGGACCTGGGCACTGTCCCTGAGCTTTTGTGCTCAAAGCTAGCACTCTACCACTTGAACCATAGTTCCACTTCTGGCTTTTTGTGGTTAAATGGAGATGTCTCTTGGATTGTCAGGGTTGGCTAGGATTGCAGATTACAGATGTGAGCCACTGGTGCCTGGAAGGAAGAACATTTTTGTAAATTCTTCCTTTTTAGTGTTTACTTTTTAAATTAGCCTAAGTGGGAATTACTTGTTCACTATCTTTGACCATTTATCAGTGGGTCATTGCTCAATAAATATTAACTGATCACTTATGCTGTAGGAGGGGCCTAGGAACACCTGCTTTAAATGTACTTTTAAAATACCACAGCAATTAACTTCCTTATTGTTATATTTAATGAAGATTTTCCCCATCTATTTAATACTTTAATTATTTTAAAAATGTGTATAATCAGATTTGCCTCCTTTTTTACCTATACACCCCCACACACACATTTCAGTTAGAGGTTATAAAGCTTAGAGAATTATCACCTCATGATTTTATCAATATTGAATTAGATTTTATATATATACATATATATATACTTATGTTTGTGGTGTTGAGAACTTCTATTTAATTCTATTATTTTACGTTTAAAATGTGAAGTCTTTAATTCAGGGTTTCTGGATTAAATATTGTACCCGACACTATTTATGTATAATGTAATAGCTAAACCAAAGCAAACTGAACCATCACCACCACCACCACAAACAAAACAAAACAAAACAAAACACACACAAAATTTGTAAGCAGATATGGGAGTGCTTACTTGAACAGTTAATGAAACTCCTACTTCTGAAGACTAAGAGATTCCCTGGAGATAGAATAATGAATCCTGTGAGTCTCCAAGGTTTTGGAGGACTGCTGGAAAGATTGGTCTAAAACATTTATCAAACTTTATAACTCTGGACTCCTTTATTTATGAAGCATCTCTTGGAGTGCCAAACTTTGGAAGCTATTGTTTTAACTCAATTTATAGCAAAGCTTAAAAATCTGACCATAAGTTCATTCTCTGTGGCATTTCCAGCATGTTGTAGATGTGTAGTAAATACAAACTTAATGAACAAATGAGTATGAGAACAGATCGACAGGTAAGACAATCAGATCTCGTCCAGCAATACTATGATATATACTCTCTAAAAATACATTCAGGTAGAGTATCTTTGTATGGTTCCCTTCTAGATCCCCAGGACCTAGAATAATGCTTAGAATAAGTCTTGTTGACCAGAAAAACAAGGGAACGAGTCTCTTGTCCATCCCACCACATTTCTTCCTAATATCTTTCCTGAATGGAAGGGGAAGAGTATCAGGGGCCCTTGATCATAACCTAAGGTAGTTCTGAAAGCAGATCCAAGCACTAACCTTGAGCTAGAGACCAGGGCTCCAGGATGATCTCTTTGAAGGTACCAGGCCCTCATACAATTAATAGGTGGCACCATAAATTCAGTTACAATAGGCCTGGCAAGAGTAGGCCTCCTTCCTTGGGGATGCTGTTTCAGCACTGTCCACACTAGCTGAGCAAGACTTTAAGTCCATCCCAATTGCACAGAGTCTGCCATGGATGCTGTACTCAGTGGCCCCACAAGCAGAACTTCATAGTACAAGGTGCTAAATGACCTGAGCCTTTATGAGCAGAGAATGCCTCTTAGGATGGCAAATGGTTCTCATCAGATGAGCACACTTGCTGTGTTCATTGTCATTTTGAGATTGACATTAGTACTTCCTCCTTTCACCCAGCTGGACCAATATAAACTTCAAGAGCCAACTTTGATGTAAGATTCACGGCAAAACAGTTTTTATAGGGTCATCACTTGGAAGTGTGAGGAAAATGGGTGCAGAGAGCGGTCAACACAGCCTGTTCCTAAGAGCTAAGGAAGGCTATTCACCTACTCTGTCCAGAATCTAGAATAGTAAGGTACCACAAGTTTTCAAGAAAGAGCCCCAACAGCCTGGACCCAGAGTATTGGTGACATTTTCCAAATATTACCCCTGGGTAATATTTCTGAATGCCCCAGCACAGCCCCAGCGAGTCCCGTGTTACCACAAGTGCAAGTCCCGCCAGCAGTTTAGGGAAGATGGGCTCCCTAAACCAATCCCTGTGTTTAAAGTTTTAGAAGCACCCATGGCAAAGAAGAGAGGAAACAATGAGCTTTATAAAGAACCATATTTATTTTCATTTACAGCATCAAATACCATAAATAAAGCTAAACATTGTTTGTGGTGTGCAAAATACAAGGTTCCATGTGGTACTGTAAATGGTTACCATAGGTCACAGACATGCCTTGTGATGAGAATGGGGAGGCTAGCTAGAGATAGGCTGAGAGAGAGGAGGGCTCTCTTAGTTGACATTGTAGAAAGGGAGGGAAATTCTGCAAGAGAAGATAAGAGCAAGGACTTTGTACTGCCAGGCTCTGTACCAATGCAGCGAGGGGATACAGCATGCAGGGCTGGGCAAAGGCTGATAGGTCAGGGTGGCTCTGGCCACATGCAAAACAAATATCAACTACAGTCAAGAGTGTGAGGCCAGGCCTATGTTGGCTCTGCTCTACTGGACGTGTGGCTTCTCTGTACCAACACTTTGATTGCTCTGCTGCTCCAGGTAAACAAGTCAGTAGGAATATGTACTCTAGGCTGAGCCATGGGAGTAAAGAGACTGGTCTCTCCAGGCCTGAGTCTGACTTAAGTCATTTCTCGAGGTCATCCCTCTCCTGAGACTATGCATGATTGCTCTGATTGACGTTATTGAACTTTAGGAGTCCAGGAGGATAAGAAGTACACTGCAGATCATTTGGATCACTGATGCAGGTTTGAAGAGAAGGTTTGCTAGAATCATTGTGATTATTTGTATACAATACAGAACATGAGTCAAACTTGTAATGAGGCCTGGAAGAAATTTTTTAAATCATTCTAAAATGGATCATCTATGGGTTTGATAAATAGTAATCTTCATGTTAGAATCAATTTAAGAAGATATTATTAGATAAGACCTTCTTCAGAGGTCACTAGACAAATGTCTTCTTGCCAAAGGTGACAAAGCCTTTCTTGTATGGTACTGTCTCACAATCAAGTTAAACCTTCTCAAGAAGGTAAGTGGCTTCCCAGGTGCAACTGAAAAGCATAGACACAGGCCAGCCCAGAGGACAGAGGGGAGGCGGGGCATGCACTTGGGGTGGATCAGGCTGCATGCTCTGGGGCAAGTAGAATAAGACTTTGCTTTTGAGCTGAACCCTTCCCTCCCTCATGCTGTTAACTCCCCCTTCCCCATGCCACCAAATGAGTCCATTAGACGCAAGCCACAGCACAATCATATTACCGGCGGGGAGGCAGGGTGTGGAAGCAGGTTAGGGATTAGTACCACTCTCTGAAAATAGCCCAGAAAAATCAGTCACCTCAGAGCAGAAATGTGTCAGCCAAGAAGTGGGTGTAGCACTGGAAGGCTGAAATGAACTGACGGCCACAAGGTGAGGTTGGAAAGAGAGAGAGACAGAGAAGAGAACTTAGCATGGAGAAAAAAGGGAAGAAAGAACTGGAGTTGAATAGGCAACCGTTAGAAAAGGGAAACATTCTCCCCCAACAAGTCATTCACTGTTTGGTTAGGAGAGATGAACCCTTCTGGTGGTGGTCAGCTACTTATTTACATGAGCAGACATTGTCAACATTCCACTGAAGTCCTTTCAGAGCTACAAATGCCCTTAGGACCTTCTCTCCCTTCTCTTTTCTCTGCCCCAATTTAACTCTGGAATCTCACATTCATTCTTGAATATGTGATAGAAGTTTTGAGGAGTTGCTCCCCAGGACTCGCCCATGTGTTGGCACTGCCCACCAGGAAGGTTCAAGGTCTCCCAATATACAAACATCTGACTTATGACAGACACACCCAGTCTACTAGAATAATTCAAACCAGTCTTGTTATGGCCAGAGTGACATTCTTAGAGAGATTCTACTCTGGCTTCAGGGAACTTTCTGCAAAACATCTCAGCCCACCCTGAGCTGGAGGTAATCACAATGAGGTGGCACTCACATCCTGACCTCAAGAATTCACTTTGCATAATGAAACATGTGGAACATTAAAAATCCCAGCACAAAATGAGGAAAATGTAATGTGAGTCATCAGACTAAGAACAGTTCAAAAAAGACAGAGGTGCCAGCAGTTCCAGAAGACTTGACTGGGACCATGACCATGACCTGTGTTTCCCAACAACTCCAGGGAAGTGTCTGGAGAAGCAACACCCACCCCTTCTTTCCACCCTACAGAAAATTTATCATCCCAAAGCTGTTTCAGAGCTCTGGCTCTGAATCCACACCAGACTCCCTCTTTCCTAGCAAATAATTTCTAGTGCTAACAGCCAACCTCACAGAGCTCTCTTGGTCCCAACAATTTTGAATATGCTGAGCACCACTGAAGGCATTTATTGGCCTCTCATTGCTCAGTTGAGCCTGTGCAAGCAGAGTGAGGTGGGGACAGCTGAGGGTTCTTCCTGACCCCCAGAAGAGGGGGCCTGATGTTCTTTTATTTGCCCCTGGTTGGGCCTGTTTTCTTGGACTCAGGACCTTGAGTTTGCTAGGCTAGCACTTTACCAATTTGATCCACTCTTCCAACTTGGGCTTATTTCCTGGAATCAGTCAATAAACAGCTTCCACTCCCGGCCTTCCCTCAGTCAAAACACAGCAAAGCTGCTTAAGGTCAGGCATTCTCTTTTGCTTGGACAGTGGGAAAATGGTTTCTGTTTTGACACATATATATGGCAGCAGCCAGAGCATGACAGGCAAGGTCATGCTTCCCAGGAGCTGGTAAACTTCCTCAGGTTCAAAGGACACCAGATGAGAGGCAGTTTTTTCCCCTTTACTCAGCCTGACCACTATGCACCTGAGTGGCCTTGGTTCAGCTTATAGCCTGGTCTAGGGACCTGATAGAGTCCTTGAGGACTAAAATGCCACCAGCTGAAATAGTTTGTCCTCAGCATAGAATTAGCCTGGAAGAGCTTTCCAGGGTCAGGTGCCAGCAGGCTGTCACCTTACTGCCCGTTAGTGGGAAGGAAAATAGATTGTTGGGAAGTCTGTAACAACCTGGTTGGAACCCTGTGAGTCTGTGTCATCTGATTGTGATTGGATAAGGGAAAAAACCTATAAACTACTATTTTACTTCAAAACAAAGGAGCAAAGCAGTCTTCCCCCCTCTACAAAGAGAGGAGTCAACACACTTCTGTGCATTTTTGTAGAGTTGATTCTATTTTGTTCCTCTATTCTTCTAAACATTATGCTTTCAAATTCCTCCCCAAATTACCTACTGTTGACAGGTGACATCAGGTTGCATAAATTGCAAGGCACTGGTCAAGAGATGGCACATTCACTTATGTATATGCAAATTCCCAGGTCAAGTAGTGATTTGTGCAAGTAGTGATTCTTACAGTTCACTGCCATGTTGAAGAGTGATGAACTTCAAATGTTCAGAAAAAAAATGACACTCATAGAAAAAAAATTGCTCTTGGCTTATTGAAAGATAAACATTGAAATGTAAACCCAGAAATATGGCTCGCTTTGGTATAAAAAATAATGTACAAAGGTATAAAAAAGTCCTTCATGTCATCTCTAGCCCTAGCACCTGGACTGGATGTTCCCCTTGTCAAGGCCAGGTGGAGGTGGCTGATATGAAACTCTTTGGCTTGGAGCTAATTGTTATAGACATTAGACTTGGCCAGAGCCTTAGCAAACAACAAACAATGGCCATCTACACTCCAGAAATGTTAAGGCACTTTGGGGCAGCCAGACACCTCACTCGCGCTTGGTGGGAATGCACCTGAGTACCCAGCTGCGAATGCTTTCAAGAGACTCCTCAGACTCCCTGTACATAGTTGCTAGGACCTCAGAGAAGGCCCAGAGAAGTGGCAGCCCAAGGCTTATGAGCTCATACATATAGCAGTAGTTGTAAGCATTGTCCCTGACATGCAGCCCGATGGCGTGCAGCAGTCCCCGTATCCAGTTAAGCAGGTTCTGGGGAATGGCCAGCAGGCCCCGGGGAAGGTCGAGCAGGGCCCTTGGCAGCCTGAGAGGCCAGCTCAGTGCCTTCCTAAAGAAGGAGGTGGAGATACCTGGGGGGCTGCCTTCTGGTGTGCTGATGGCGGCCACTGCACAAGAACTTTCGGTGGGAGTGTCTCGTCGAGGGGCTTCCTGCTCCTGCCATGGCCCCTCTTCCTGACAAAGAGAACAAAGTGAAGGCATTTAGTCCATGAGTCTCATGGAGCAGTCTTCCAACAGAGCAGACTGAGAGAACCAATAAAAATCTAACCTGGAAGGCCCCGAGTTCCACAATTAGCCCCTAAATAATCTCAGCACTCTTACTCATGGTGCCAAATAAGAGAACAACTTTTTTGGGAGACAAACTGATTATCCAATTCATAAACTCTCAAAATGGACAAGCCCTCTGATCAGCATTCCTGCTTATAATGATATAGCCTAAGTAAACTATCTGAAATAGGGATAAACATTTACAAGAAAAGATGTTCTTTATGAAGTTATTTGTAAGATAAAAATATCAAGCAATGTAAAAGTCCACCAACATGGGACTAGTGATATAGATTACTATCAAAGAAGGAGACTCTTAAATAGGCATTACAAGTTCCTAGAGGAATTGGTTGAATGGTAATTCCTTGGTCTAACTACTTAAAGATAATAAAAATATAAATAAAATTGATTGGAGAATTTAGAATTAAAATGAAAAATTCCCAAAGAATTTATATGACTTAGAAAATTATTTTTTAATTTCTGTTTTTAAAATTTTATTTTTATCTGTAAGTAGTTTTACAAAGGAGTTGCATTCAAACATGGATCAATGTCATGCCTTTCAGTATTCTCTCCAATTCCTCCCAACCCTATCTCTTGCCTTAATTTTCCTAATTTTATCAAAATGCATTGAATTTTATAACTGCATTCTCTTCCCTTTCTTCTAATTTGTCTACTTCCCTCCTCTTGATCACCCTTCTCCTCACATTCGAGCACCCAATTCCTGGTGTTATTTTGTTGTGCTGTGAGTTTCTTTTTGATATACTGTTAGTGAAAAAGAATATAAAACTGTAGAGGGTATAGTTAAAATATAAGTTAAAAGTTATTCACATAAAGTGATGAAGTTTTTTCAAGGTAGGTGATTACAGATTTTTAACTTTCCTTTTTTATATATTTATTTTTCCCTTTTAAAATTAAACCTCTATGACTTGGCCAGTACTGGGACTTAAACTCTGGCCTCATGCTCACCCTGTTGACTCATGCCTCCAGCCCGGATTTTTACTGGTTCTTTGGAGTTAAGAGTCTCATGAACTTCTCTGCCAGAACTGGCTTTAAACTTTGATTTTCCAGGTCTCAGCTTACTGAATAGCTATGGGCATAAGCTATTGGCACCTTGCTAGAAAATGTTTTAAGCCATGTTCTTGGTGCTAGACAATTCCTCAAACCAGAGAGAAGGTATTTACTAAGAGCTATCAGAGGGGGCACTACCACAGACCATCTATAAATTCAGTGGGCTGCTCCAAGAGACTGTAAAAGGACTTGGGAACCACAGGTCGGCTCCCTTATCTGTCATTTCTCCTGTAAGTAGTATCCTGTGGCCAGGTGGATACTAAGTACACAGGGAGCACTGGCTTTTGTAAAGACAGGCACAGAGTACCATCTCTAGCACATGGGCAAACTCTTTTTGGCTTCTCTAGAGAAGCCAGCCAGCTACTCACTTGGCCTTTGCAATGTGCAAACCGAAGGCCACTAAATAAATGGAGGTAAGGGAAACACCCACAGGAGGAAGTAGAGGCATTTCCTTATCGCAAGCAGTCTCCATCCCTCCACGGCCAGAAAAATGCATTAGGCTCTGAGGAGCATTTGAAGATCTCCTCCTCCTGGTTTGACCACTACTTTTGAGACACATACCTCTTTTTGTTGCTTCAACTCTGCCCGTCTCTTCCGTTGTTTATTGTTGGTTTTACAGTGAATGAAATGAGGCTTGCAGTAAAATTTTCCTGTGGAAAGAGAGACAGAAAGACAAACAGACAGACAATAGACACAGACACAGACACAGACAGACAGTCAGACAGACAGACAGACAGACAGACAGACAGACAGACACACACACACACACACACACACACACACACACACACACACACACACAATTTTTGTCCTGTAAACCACAGAAAATAAGCCAAGTACCTTTCACTGTCTGGTCAGAATACTTGGCTTAGACATGGGAAATGGATGTATCACCATCTTTCAACAAGTACCCTGAGATAAGGCAGTCACACTTTTTATTGCTTCAATAATGGGGCGAGGGGATCTTGAAATGGGGCTAAAAATCTTCTGGCAACCCTCAAGCCAAGGTAAGGTCAAGTTTCTTTACAAGATCAGTTGCCAGGGAACAAAAAGGGGCAGCTGTAAGTGTTTGATACACTCCTATCCTTTCTGAGATTCTGAGAACAAATAGGGGCAGTAAGGAGCAAGAAAAGACACAGGTAGGGTGTATGCCAGGTAAATGGCTTCTCCCAGGACCTCTAGGCACCTTCTAGGAAGGTCCTCCTGCTCACTGCTGTGATAGGCACAATAGTGATGGTATTAACAATAAGTAAATGTCATGTAGGACTTAATATATACCAGGTACTATTATATAGGTTTCCCATAAATTAACCAATCATCCTTCAGCCTTATGACCTAAGTATTATTTTTTGTTATTGCTTACTTTTTGAGATAGGGTGCTGGCTTGCTGTTTCATGTTAGCCTCAAACTCAAAATCCTCTGCCTTTACTTCCTGAGGGTTGAGGTTACAAGCCTGCACTACCATGGACAATCCTCTTATTATCCACATTTTACAGATGAAGAAACTGAGTGACCCAGAGGTAAAGAAATAGGACTGATGTTATATGATAGTATGGCCTGGATTCGAGCCCAGGTTCTTTTTTTTTTTTTTTTCTGTCGGTCGTGGGGCTTGAACTCTGGGCCTGGGCGCTGTCCCTCAGCTCTTCAGCTCAAGGTGAGCGCTCTACCACTTGAGCTACAGCGCCACTTCTGGTTTTCTGGTGGTTTATTGGAGATAGGAGTCTCACGGTCTCTCCTGCCCGGGCTGGCTTTGAACCGCAATCCTCAGATCTCAGCCTCCTGAGTAGCTAGGATTACAGGCGTGAGCCACCAGCGCCCGGCGAGCCCAGGTTCTTTAACACTAAACACTGTGCTGTATCACAACAATGGTTGAAAATTAGAAAAATCATGACATAGTCCAATGAGTACAATCCCTTCCTCAATGGTTTCTGGTAGACATTTATCAAAGGAGATGCTATTTTTTTTTTTTTTTGGGGGTCTGGTCATGGGGCCTGAACTCTGGGCCTGGGCGCTGTCCCTCAGCTCTTCAGCTCAAGGCTAGCGCTCTACCACTTGAGTCACAGCACCACTTCTGTTTCTTTTTTTTTCTTTTTGCTTATATGGTGCTGAGGAATCGAACCCAGGGCCTCAGGCATGCAAGGCAAGCGCTCTACCACTGAGCTACCTTCCCAGCCGGAGATGCTATTTTTTTTTAATTTGTAAATTAAATTGTTTTTTCTGGTCGTATGCTTGAACTCTGGGCCTGGGCACTGTCCCTGAGCTCTTCAGCTCAAGGAATGCACACTACCACTTGAGCCATAGTGCCACTTCCAGTCTTCTGGTGGTTAACTGGATATAAGAGCCTCACAGATGTCCCTGCCCAGGCTGGCTTTGAACTGTGATCCTCAGATCTTAGCCTCTTGTGTAGCTAGGAATACAAGCATGAACCACTGGCATCGGGCTTATTAGGTAATTTCTGTAACACCTGCTTTATAAACATGGTGCTGGGTATGCTATTATTATTATGCCAAACAAGGACTGCAGAAGGTGGCAATACTAGGTGAGAAAGTGCATTTAAGCCCTCTGCACACAGTAGATGCCACAGATAGCTGGTAACCTGCAAGGCCCATGAATAACCTTCTCTCTGTAGCAGGAGCTCTCAGTCTCCCTAACCAGCTATCTCCCTGTTGGGAACAACTGACTGTCTGTCCAGAGCCTTTACACAACTGAGAACCCATAATAAAGCCACATCTGCAGCAGGGATTATTGCTATTCCAGTCCCTGGAGATTACCTTCATCACAGTCGAAGGCATAGGCAGCCAGGCGCAAGGTGTTGGCACAGACACTGCAGCGGAAACACTCCCGGTGGAAGAAGTGGCCCTCAGCACTCAGCCGTTCCATCACATACACACGTTTTTCACAGAAGTAACAGGTGTCACTGCCACCCAGGCCTAGGGGAAACACCTTTCGCATAGAATCCTGGAGTTGGGAGAGAAGAGCTGTGTGATAGGTCTGAATAAATCCCAAAGGCCAAGACTTTTAGAAATTCCAAATGGAATCACAGGATCCTCTGGGGCTCCTGGTTGTTGCTAAGGCATTGGAGCAGAGAACAAGGCAGGAAGGTGTGCTACCAACCTAGACTCCAGCCTTCTAGGGCTCTCCTCAGTCTGCCTGCCCTGGGCCTGAGTGGTCTGAACAGAGAGAGAATTACACACAAACCTGTCTGCCCAATGATGGGTCTGTCCCAGGGATTAAGTATCATTGGGCATTGGAGTCAGGTCACAGAGGCCCTGCTAAGGATGTTTAACACATGCTCGACTGCTGTAGTGGCTTAAGTCAGGTAAAGAAAGCCTCAAATATGTTCTAGAGAGCACAGAGAAAGGACAGCTTGTGTTCTACAGCATCCCAAAGCTGCCAGCCACATTCCTAAATGCAAATGGTAAGGTAGATGGAGGGCCAGGATAGTCTAGCCCTGTGTGATCTCAGGGCAATGCGCCAAAAAGGAAACCAAATGAACTGTCAACATATGTCACTGGTGATGGCAATGAGTGGCCTAAAGTGAGGAGGAAAGAATCAGAAGAAGACACGTTCTCTCCTTGAGAACTTGTTTTCTTGTAAGGCCTGATTTCATCTCTTAATCCAATACCCAGTGCTGTTCAGATTGGACACCCAAACGCTGAAGGTCAGGAACATCCAGTTATGCACATGGCCTTCCAGGACCCAAGATTGAGCTGTTCTTCAGAGCCACTGATAGCAGGGAGGCAATTGTGTTGGCAATGACCCATAAGGAAGATCATTGCCTTGGTGTAGCCCATTTTCAGCGTCCTTTTGTTCCTGGGGAGTCTTCAGAGGTCTGGGCTATATCCTGTGATCCTGCTCCAAGAAACCACAGCCAGTGGCTGCAGGTGTAGGTTGAGCATGCATGTTCTTACCAGGTCTGGAGAGGTGGCTTGGGCCTTAGGTTTGTGATCATTCAAGTATAGATTGACCAAGACTTCAGCTGCAGCCCCTATTCCGCTGGACACTTTCCCTACTGTCAGCTATCCAAGAGCAAAGGTGGATGAGACAGAGACAAAAGGAGAGGCCAGTTAGCACCCAGAAGGAAAGTAGGGACAAGTCTGGATATGAAAGATGGCTCTAACCCACATGCAAAGAGTACCCCATGTCCCAGAAAGGCAAACTACCGGGAGTAGATGATGGGTATTCTATAAATAGAGAGAAGGAAAGAAAAAATTGTGATAGTAAAAAGGGAAATTCTACATTAGCCTACTTCTATGAGGTATCTAGCATTGCCAAATGATAGGAACAGACAGTGGAATAGTGTTGTCTAGTGGCTGGGGTGAGGGACGGGGAGGAAGTTACTGCTTAATGGGTACTGACTCCTGTTTTTGTGAGATGAAAAGAATTCTTGAGCTACATGGTGTGATGAACATACAACACTGTAAATGTACTTGATACCACTGAAGTGGACACTTCAAAATGGTTAAGATATAAATGTTATGCTAAGTGCATTTTAATATAAAAAGTGGAAAAATATTATTTAAAAAAGAGCTCTAGCTGGGTGCTGGTGGCTCACACCTGTAATTCTAGCTACTTGGAGTCGGAGATCTGAGGATCATGGTTCAAAGCCAGCCTGGGCAAGAAAAGTCTGTGAGACTCTTATCTCCAATAAACCACCAGAAAACCAGAAGTGGTGCTCTGGCTTAAGTAGTAGAGTGCTTGCCTTGAGCTGAAGTAAGGAGGGACAGCGCCCAGGCCCAGAGTTCAAGCCCCACGACCGACCCCCCCCCCCCCCGAAAAAAAAAGAGCTCTATGACACTAGGTAGGGATCCAAGTGACAAACAAGTCCCTTTACTGGGGCTTGTAGGAGTTCATAAGCCTCTGGTTGTACAAAAGTGAGGGAGGAGATCTACCTGATGCCACTTAGCAAATAAATGCAAGTGTCAGGCCTGTTCTTAGACTTCCTGCCCCTCAGCCCTTCACATCATGAGGATCTGGTGGGATTTTTAATCTCAGGCCCAATAACTACCCCCAAAGGCTTATAGTGCACCTGCCTGTGCCAGCCTGGAAGACAGAAAGGACTGAGTAAAGGAGAGAAACCCAGAGCCAAGCCTTCATAGAAAGCTAGTCTGCAGCCATCATCCTCTTGAGAGTTGCTGAGTGGGCTGTAGGGCCTGAAAGACCAGGACAGGGCTAGGATCCAGCTCTGCCAAATATGGCTTCTGAGAGCTACACAGAGCCCAGAGCTTCTGAACTTGTTTTTCTCATTTATTAAAGTGGGGAGAGTTATAGTTGTCTCAACTGAGTTATAGAAGGTTGGCCCAGTGCATGGGACTTAACAGAGGCTTGGCTGAGATAACTTTGACTCTTCCTCCTCTGGACTCAGCCTGCCCTTGATGTCCTAGTCCCTAAAAAGCAAAAACATTTGTCCTTGAACTGAGTCTCTTCCAGCTGGACCACAGACCAACACACAGTGGATGGAGTGCAGTAGATGACTGGGCTGTCCTGAGATGAGGGTCTGAGCAGGTGCAAGGCAGGGCCAGTGCAAAGTTGGGGAGGTCTCAGTCCCATGTGGGCCCCAGAGCATGGCTTGATCCCTCACCAATGTGTCAAGGAACTGACAGGTCAGAGCATGGCACAATCACACATCAATCTCCTAAGCAAACCCCCATTCCCTTCTTCCCTCCCTTTCTCTCCAGCAGCAATGAAAGCCCACCCTGGGAACACTACCATCTTCTCTGAGGAAAATTTGCATAGGATGAGATTCTGGACATACTGTTCCTGAGGTGGAGAGGACTCATACCCTGCCCAACCTCCAAATCCAGCTTCTAGAGCCGCCAGAGCGCACAGCAGTTTAGACTGCAGAGTGTCTTGTGCAAAGGTTGGCTGCCATTGGGCCCACAAGTGGTGGGGGTGAAATGGCACCCTCCATTGAAACCCAATATTGCTCTTGAGAGGCCACATCTAATCTGGTAACAGACTCAGGTACAAACCAGGAGGTCCAGAAGACCTAAAGTATAAGACAGCAGGTTGGTCAGCTCCCCAACTGCTGGCAGCAGGCCAACTACTATCCTCTCACCTGAGGCTAACTCTCCAGATTCCAGTAAGCACACAGACATTATAGAGATAAACAGGAAAGGAATGCTGAGCAGGCTGGTGACAATGACAGGATCTCAGAGACTGTCATCCCTTTACTCATGATGGAAGCCCTACACTAAGAGAAGCTTTGGAACAGTCATTCCATACCAAGAATGTGGGGCTCTTGGGGACTGCAGAGTATCTGGCTGCTGTCTGTTAGGTGTCTGGTCCCTTGGGATAGCAGAAGGGGTCTTATCAGACTGCACAAAGCATTCATTTCTTGGAGTGATAGCTGCCAGACCAGGTTCCTCCTCTTCCCTCCTATCATCTGCACTCAGCCTGAGAGAGATTAAGATCCTGCTTCCAAACATGCATCTTGACACTCTCAGAAGCCTATAAATCCCAGGAAACTCAGCTCCTGCTTCCAGGCAAGTTCAGGTGTATTGCTCAGGATAATGAGCCACAGTTGCTGATGCTCTATCCCCTGCTGGGGCTCCTATTTCCATCTGTAGGGATTGCAGAATACAAGGTTTATATAAAAAATACGAGGGGGAGGGAAGGCAGAAGAGGTCAGATGTCTTCTGGTTATTGCCCACTCTGCCTTTGGTGGCTGCCTTCTGGCACAGTGTGTGAACCAGCTCCGGTGTACTCTCCCAGAAAGGCACCTGTGAGCTTATGACACCCACGCATGATTATTGCCTTCTCGATGTTGCAGAGATCAAGACTATGTTCTCTGAGGCTTTAAATACAAGTCCCTAATGAGATCTTATTAACTATTTAGATAATAACCACTTTGGGCCACTTCACTACTGAGTGATTCTGATTTAGGGAGCAATTACTGAGGTATATAGAAAGCTGTGAGGTTGCTGAGGGTGTCAACCAAGTATACTGGTACAGATCAAAGGGTTACCAGATCTACCAGCTCAGGGCATTGTCACCTGGATGGTGGATCCGGGTGGAAGACCATACGTTTCTTTCAATATGGGCCCCAAAGCTCCTTTTTCCCTATCATCCACACATACACTTGGAGCAACATAAAAAACTGAACTGAAAGCATCCTTACAGAAATTAGTATTGGATCTTCCACTTGCTCATCTAACCTGCTGGATACTATCCCATAATCATGAACACATACACTAGGACTTCCTGGAGAAGCCACAGAATGATGGAGAATTTGTCTTAATGGATGATGATACAGGATACATAAGGAAATGGGAAGATATGTTATCTTTAACAACTACCAAAAGGGCCAGACCCAGAAAGTTGCAACTAGGAAGCTACTGGAAGAGCAGTTAAGCTTCCCTATTATACTTCCTTTTAGATGTGAAGTTACAAAGACTCGGAGATATAAAGGGGATTCTAAATCTACTCTCTCATCTGAAATAGTAAAAACCTGGCAACTCTCTGTAGCTAGGTAGAGCCAGAAAGGTGGGAAAGGATATGTGGAATAAGAAAGCAGTAACACTTATTTGTTGTTTCTGTGGTTTAGATAGGCCCAGATACATCTCCATATTTTAGAATAATTAGCATCACCTATCTTAACCATCTCAAGCAAGTGTCTAATTGCTGGGGGTTGTTAGCCAGCATGACCATGTATGTTCCCCTAGATCAGAGAAAAAAAAGGTAACAGCTGTCATTGTAAGCCTTTAACTCTCATTTCTTAGATGAGGAGCAGGAAATAGTTCTTTCTCTATATTCTATTTCTTCCTATTTTTAACCAGTTATACTAAAATAGTTCCTTGCTAGGACTTTGACCTTTTGTGCGAAACACTCTGAAATGCTTTTCTTGAGTGGATCTGTGATTTGTGTGCAAACTGGGAAGCTGAGGAAAACCCTCATCCATTTTCCAGTGACAACAGGAGGGCCTAGAAAACCACCCCAAAAACCAATGGGAAGGTGACTGTTGCCCTGAGGATTGAAGGTTATCATCCTTCTATGTCCTGACAGTAGATGGCTGTTCTGGCTATCCAAAAGTGAGGTTATAACTGGTAGCTTCTCCTAGCTCCATGTGTAAAAGGCAACTTAAAAGATGCTTTTGGGGCTGGGAAGGTGGCTCAGTGGTAGAGCGCTTGCCTTACATGCCTGAGGCCCTGGGTTCGATTCCTCAGCAGCACATAAGCAAAAAGAAAAAAGCCAGAAGTGGTGCTGTGGCTCAAGTGGTAGAGCGCTAGCCCTGAGCTGAAGAGCTGAGAGACAGTGCCCAGGCCCAGGCCCAGAGTTCAGGCCCCATGACTGGACCCCCCTCCCCCAAAAAAAAGATGCTTTTGCTGAGCCCTGTGGATTAACTAAAAGTCCCCCAACTTTGTATCTATGCCATTTTGTCTGAGTTATTCTCTGCTGCATTCACTTTACCATCTTAGACTCTAGGAAAGAGAAGATCCATCAAACTGTTCCTCAAACAAGCAAAACTTTCTTATCATTTTAAAAGAAAGCAGCCCCAAACTCAATTTGTTCCTATCGTTCCAATGGTAAAGTGTTAACTTCTCTGGAACGACTCCAGAGACAAGTCCACACATCTGTGACTCAAGACTGTTTTAACCAATAACTTTCTCATCCCCTACTCCTATTTCTTCCTATTTAGCCTGAAGCCTCTGTCTATACCCCTGAAGATGACTGATGATACACTGAAGTGCTATCTTCTCATGGCTGCCATGTAATAAACCTCCTTCTCCACCCTTCACCATGTCTCCTTATTTGGTATGAGAGTGGCCAGACTATTGTGGAAGTCTTGGACTTTGGGCCAGGGGTCTAAAAACCGGGTTTCAAGCGTGTCTCAAACTATCTGTGGATGATGGTTAGGTTTTGTTTTTTCCTTCTAAATCTTTGATCCCTTGTGGATTGATACCATGATTCTAGAGATGACAAAAATAAATGACTAAAAATTATCTTGCATTTGGATGTGTAGCAATGTCCAGCTGCTGTACATGTTTCCAATGCTCACTCTCATTTGCTAAACTCACTG